TTTAATTAACTGGGAACCAAAGCTAACCTAACCTAACTTAACCTTTCCTATATTATCAGTGATGGGGAACTTAACTTACGATTCTCTGAGACTCTTTGGTAAACGGTCATCTGAGACTCTTAGGTACACGGTCATCTGAGACTCTTAGGTACACGGTCATCTGAGACTCTTAGGTACACGGTCATCTGAGACTCTTAGGTACACGGTCATCTGAGACTCTTAGGTACACGGTCATCTGAGTCTCTTAGGTACAGTCATCTGAGACTCTTAGGTACACGGTCATCTGAGACTCTTAGGTACACGGTCATCTGAGACTCTTAGGTACACGGTCATCTGAGTCTCTTAGGTACACGGTCATCCGAGACTCTTAGGTACACGGTCATCTGAGACTCTTAGGTACACGGTCATCTGAGACTCTTAGGTACACGGTCATCTGAGTCTCTAGGCACACGGTCATCTGAGACTCTTAAGCACACACTGAGCTATGACGAAGGCTCTCGGATATTGCCACATAATTCCCGCCTAGTGTTTAAATTTTAAGAATTACTCGTATTTCACCCTTGGATGAAGCTAGGTGGCTTAACGTTTTAATAACTGGTTTAACCCTTCGAGGACGATGGTTTAACTCTTTCATGGCGATGGTTCATCTCTTTCAGGTTGATGGTTTAACTTTTTTGATGACATTTTAACCCTTTCAAGACGATGGTTTAACGGAGGAATATGGTTTAATTGAAGATAATGATTCATCCCTTCGAGGTCTATGGTTTAAAGATGACGGTTTAACTTTCACATCCTCAGAGGGGTAACAGGCATATCCTCGTTTTTATATATATATATATATATATATATATATATATATATATATATATATTTATTTCATTAGCCCAATAAACACACGGACTTCTACATACAATCAACACCTCAACCCGCCAGGATTCGAACCCACGGCCCACGAGCCCATGACTGTGATCGGGTAACGCTAACCAGAGGTTCGGGATTTCTCTCAAAGGGGCGCTTCCACTGCAATTACCATCTAATAATCTTTAATAAGCCCCAAGTTTAGTGAGAAATTAAAGTCCAGTAAATTCCGACCGGTTAGCGTTCCCCGGTCACAGTCATGGGCTCGTGGGCCGTGGGTTCGAATCCTGGCGGGTTGAGGTGTTGATTTTATTTATATATATATATATATATATATATATATATATATATATATATATATATATATATATATATATATATATATATATATATATAAGTAAAATTGCTAAAAAAAACCTCCATTTTCATCAGTCGCCATTTTAGTAATATAAGAAATGTACGGTATTTATGTATATAATAATGGCGGTCAAAATGGCGTCTTAAATGGCCTGTGACTCTACCCTAACTACAGGTGGTCATTTGGTACCTCAATCAGGGATAAAGGTTAAAAACGTTAAAATCACTCTCTGGTTCCTGCCATAGAAACAACGCCAGCACAAGCATTCAAAAACCTGAGTTACGCCAGACGAACCATCGCCCGCCTTCCCTCCACCACACTTATTTTCCAGTACAGAAATAATTCTCAAATATGTATCGAAAATATGAATAAGTAAGTTTATCAAAGGAGAAAAATTTAAGCAAATCGTGCAATAACACACACACACACACACACACACACACACATACACACACACACACACACACACACACACACGCGGCCGTGGTCTCTTGATCATGGAGACAGCTGCCAGCCCGGTCTGTCGGGCTCTCCCCTCCCCAATCTCCTCCTTCCCATCTGGATTTATCAACATCCTCACACCAACAGTACAGTGCAAAGATTGACGATCAACCCACAATTGATATACAAAAGTGGCAATTTTAACTCGAAGGAAAAGCACAAAAACACAGCAATACTGAGTGTGGCTGGACCTGACCTAACCTGACCTGACCTCACGGCTTCACCTGACCTAACCTGAAGGATGGAGCACACCTGCATTGCCCCAAGCTACTGTCCTGGCCATGTGGCCACACCCGCCCAACCCGCTCCAGCCCAAACGAGCACGAACTGATTGCTACAAGAACAGCACAGTCCCAACCATTGTAAAAATTATCAACACCTAATTATTATATATCATATTTGTATCACTTATGTTACTTGTACATCATTTGTAAATCAAGAGACCCATTCCCCAATTATATAATTGTATATTTTCAGCCTTCCGGCTGCCATGCTTTTTCAATAAACCGTTAATTATTATTATTATTATTATACACACACACCTACCTATGCCTCCCCCACCTGGTCTTCCTCCCTAAATGCCACACAACGTAAACACCTAGAAAAAGTGCAAAAGAGGGCATGCAAGATTATTCTCTCCCCTTCCTACTCCACATATCAAGAAGCGCTCAACACACTGACCCTTTCGACTCTCACTGACCATCACCACGACCTCATCTGGAAATTTGGTAAGAAGTTTCTACACCATCCCCGACACCGGCTCTTACTACCACCTGAGATCCCTAGTCCGAGAATTGCTGTTCGACACCACAACCGCATCCAGCACATACGTGCACGAACTGATCGCTATAAGAACAGCCCAGTCCCAACCATTGTAAAAATTATCAATAACCTGTAATAAACCAGTGTATTCACTGCCAGTAAACACTACTCCTTACACTGTCACTATGTTGAAATGCTCTGTAGTTTGAGCTTTTCCCCATCTAGTTATTATATATCTTATTTGTATCACTTATGTTACTTGTATATTATTTGTAATTCGAAACCCATTCCCCAAATATGTAACTGTATATTTTCAGCCTTCTGGCTGCCAAGCTCTTTCAATAAACCGTTAATTATTATTATTATTATCACACACACACACACACACACACACACACACACACACACACACTACTACTCATCTGATTCATGACTCACTTCACCTATGACTCGTGAATCACTATAACCCAATGAAGTTATAAATTCTTTAAGTGAGTCATAAGTCATAGTGCTTCACTTGAGGTATGATTCATGACTTAATTTACCCTGACCCATGAATCATTTGACTCATGAATGACACGACTTATGATTCATGTCACAGTTACTTAAAAAAATATCTGGAAAAAGCGAAAATATATGGACAAAATTGGACCAAAAACGAACGTTGATTATATTCTAAATTGAAATATAGATAATAATAATAATAATAATATAATAATGATACTACTACTACTGCTAATAATAATAATAATAATAATAATAATAATAATAATAATTCCTCGGTTCCCTTATATACGTTACTCGACCAAACTCCTCTCTCAGGGGTACCAACATCCCTGCGGAGTCTCAATATAATCCGTCCTCTCACTCACCCACTCACGAGGGTTTATCGCCGCCACACGAGGGACAGATAGACCAGGGACAGGATGTGACCGCCAGCACGATACCACAACTGTCCTCGCTCACCACACCCGGGGATAATATAACTAAAGAGATAAACGGAGACTAAATGTGAAAAAAAAATCCAAGATGGAGGGTGGATGAGAACGCCACCCCCCTCCCCCCTCACAAAAAAAAATAGTGCCTCTTCAGCTGATCCCAAGGGAAGACTGAGGACTTGAGCTCCCTGAACGTGAGCCAGATACAAGGGAAAGAAGGCAAGGTTAAAGTCAGCCCGTGGAAGGTCTTCGTGAAGCGGTGGGTGAGTCAGTCCTGGGCCGGAAGGTGTTGGGTAATAGGTGCTCCTGAAGGTGTCCTGGCTACCACGACCCATAGGGAGACAAGGAGTACCTCACGACAGCCACTCAAGCTATTTTACTGGCGCCCCTCATAACAGTTATAGTAGATACTTCTCACTCATAGCAGGTACTTGTCACTCACACATACTCATAACCAATCCTTTCACTCGCTCACCACCACAATTTACCGGAACCACCACTCTTCACCACCACCATGCAAGACCCCGCACGTTTACACAATTGTCATAGTGACTGCTTAAACGTGGATCAAAGAAAACGGACCTGCCCAAGAAGATGAGATTTATCACCTTAGAAATGTAGGTTGCAGCTGGGTCAATTCAGGTCAAATGGGCCCTAACCCTAACAGTACTTATAAAACATCTCGGTAACTTACACTGTACTTATAAAACATCTCGGTAACTTACACTGTACTTATAAAACATCTCGGTAACTTACACTGTACTTATAAAACATCTCGGTAACTTACACTGTACTTATAAAACATCTCGGTAACTTACACTGTACTTATAAAACATCTTGGTAACTTACACTGTACTTATAAAACATCTCGGTAACTTCCACTGTACTATAAAACATCTCGGTAACTTACACTGTACTTATAAAACATCTCGGTAACTTGCACTATACTTATAAAACATTTCGGTAACTTACACTATACTTATAAAACATCTCGGTAACTTACACTGTACTTATAAAACATCTCGGTAACTTACACTATTAACTTGGACAGAATACAATTAATTATCCATTCCAAAACATCTTTATACTAAATATCTAAACAGAATCTTACCAACACACAAATGCTGATCAGTTTCGGCCTTAAGAGATTTGTTAATACTCAAAAGATGAAACAAAAAAGTACTAGGTAATCCTGCGGAGTCCTTGACGTTAGACTTACAGTATATAATAAGACTTAAAGACTTACACAAGCTGCTGAGTTATTTGATTCATCCAGGTACATCAAAACACGTGAATACAGTACTGGGAAACAGGAACACACTGCCGCTGAGGTTGTCTACTGTGAGATAAGGAGCTAGTCCACAAACACGAGACTTTTAATTATTGTTTTATACTAGCCAGTGGGGGTAGAACCGAGGAAATCCTCCCTAACTCCTACCGGGGGGGGAGGGGCGCTAGACAAAAGTGGGAGGAGATGGAGTTTAGGGCCCAAGAACTGAGAACCCCATCGGTTCCTCTAAGCACTGGAAAATGAACAAGTGATAAGAGTACAGTATGCACCATGCTTACAACTAAAACACTAACCTGTTGCTGTAATAAGCTGTGTTGAGTTGGGAAGACTTGTGAACGAGTTAAGCTTGTAGTGGAGTAGGCGAGATCTATCACTGTCACTGTTACTCAACAACCCAGCCGAAGGGTCGACTTGTTCTTTGCTAACCCGCGGAACACTACCGTCTCTCACTGTCGCACTCATACCGTAAAGCTCAATTTGCTGGCCATCTCTTAACTGACGACCCAACACATGATGACCTTCTGTTTGACTGGGAGGGTGAGAACCTCCTTGAGTTTGGTCAGATGGGTTAAATCCCCCTTGATAATGTCTGAACGTTTGAACACTCCCCCGTGCTTGGCCCCATGGACTTGTGACACTCACTGGTTCACGAGCCGGATAAATCGCATCTCGAGGTTGACCAGATGAATAACCGACACCACGGTGACCGGTTAGGTTAGCCGCGCCTCCACGATGACCGGTTGGATAAACTACACTTTTTCGTTGGCCGGATAAATGAACCACACCTCGAGATTGGCCGACCAGGGAAGTTAGTCCTTCGGCTTGACTAGATTGATGAGTTAAACTTTGATGTTTACCACATGGTGGACAAGCCGCTTCTCTAAGCTGGCCAGATGGTGGAAACGCCGCTTCTCTAAGCTGGCTAGATGGATGAGCCACACCTCGGTGCTGGCTGGACGGATACGTAACTCCAAGTTGACCAGAGGAATGAGGCCGGACTGGATTATGGGCCAAAGAGTGAGGCTGACCGAGTGAATAGGCCAAAAATCTAGACGGATTGGCCAAATTGATGATGTTAAGAGTAGCTTGTTGCTGCTGCAAGAAGCGTGCCTGAATAAATGCAGACTCATCCTCGGGCTTCATCTGGGGAGAAGTCGTCAAGTCCAGAGCATAGGTATCGGGGAAAGGTTTCAGCGCTGTAGTACCCTCGCTGCTGCTCAGTTTTGTGTGTCTCGTCTCCGGAGATCTACTTCTCTTCCTTTTCTTCAAAGTTCCACCCTCAGATAGATTCCCGTCTTCAATCGAAGACCGCGACGATACTCTGCTAAATGCTGAAAGTGATCTGGGAGTGTCGATAAGGACGCCATTAGAGGGACTGCCATACCTATATGCAGACGAGGGACTGGAAGGTGAACAATAACCAAGTGCAAGGTGTTCGCGTTCCTTGTCAGCGAGGAGAAAATCTGATGGCCAAATCTTCGCTTTAGCTTCATCATTGTCGTCAAACTTGCACCGAGAAACAGGAGTGTTTGGCGGGCTCGCTGGAAAGTACTTTGCATCAATAAATGTCTGGGAATCAGTTCTTGGCCGCTTCTTAGGGTGCAACTTGGCAGAAGGGGAGAGACTCTCTTGCTTGTACACCCTGGCACTAAAGTCCAGGGGCTCTAGGGGCGGCATGGGCTTGCTACATTCATCTTTAATCATCCGTGACATTAAGAATTTTTTGGGCTTCGGAGTATTTCCTTGATCTCGAAAGTTTGAGAAGGAGGGAGACTGAGGAGAGCGCACCTCAGCCACCAAACTGTCTACATCATAGTGTTCTGTCATCCTTGTGATCTTATACTCACCGTCGCCACAAGGGTACAAATTTCAGTAGGTCAGTCGTGGGAGATGGGGGGATGGGGGGGGGGCAGACTTGGTGTCAGGGTGTTGGAGTTACGGCTCCTTTATAACCACCTTCATCCTCCCTCAGCCCTCCACACTCATCATTACCGTTTACTTCACTGTCTACTTCACCAGTACCCCTCAGGCACACTCCATAAAATTCACTAAACTTTCAAAATATCACTGCAAACCCAAGAATTATCTCCCTATATTCATTTCACGTCATCATAAAATTTTATATTTTTTCAGCTCATTTCACTGTATTTCTATAATATTATTATGTGGGTTAACACTTTCATTGATGATAAATGTTTCAAAGTTAGGGTGAGCGTGGAGTGTACTGTATACGCCGAGAGGAAGGACACACAACCAACTCTGGTGGCAGCTGGAGCCATACTAGTACCAGAGCTGTATCCTCTCGCGGCCACCACAATGCAGTAGCTGATAGCTAACCAACCTCGTCAAATGTACTCACTTATCTGTTATCAGAGGCGCCTGGTGGCACCGAGCAGATGGGTTAGTCAATTATGGTGGTGATAACACACACGAGGGCCTCCACAACCATCCTCTTATGCCATATAGGATTTTTAAGACAGTGTGAGGTGGGATTCGACAAGGCTGTGTTCTGACATCTCTAATGTCCCCGTGCCACTGCCAGCACGCGTGGGAACATCTACGTCGGGATGGCACTTGATACATTCATACCCTGGGCATGGTCTCGCATAACTTTAATAAAGTATTACCCAGTACAAGTACAACAGGGAATACGTAGACACAGGAAGGTAGGGAGCTGGTCAGTGGCAGTCTGTGGTTGGCGCCAAGGACGCTCATCTGCGCTCCTCTGGGGGTGCCTGATAGCTGAGTGTTGACCTCACGAGGTGGACCATCCAGTGCCAACATTGTCACTCGCACCTTCTAAGGTCACACCACGCCCGTGCGGGATGGACCATGCCCACGTTGGCTGGATTACACCTAAAAGAGATGGAACGCAACAATGAGAGCAGGACCATCCCCTTCCCCTCCGAACACAACACAAAGGAAAGATAATGAACGTGACACAAGGAGCTTGACCGAGGTGTCTAAATCTGGGGGCGTCCCTGGCTTTTGACGTGCATAGCTTGACTTAACGGGACGTGGTTAGGCATGACGTGGAATGTCTAAACTTATCGCGGTTTAGTTTGGGTAGGCGGTGAGTGGCTTAGCTTGACGGTGTAGTGTGGCTTGATGCGGCGTGACTAGACTTGATAGAACCTGGCTACATTACCGGTATATGGCTAGTCTTGACGAGGCTGGTCGGAGCTTGAGGAGGTGCAGTTAAGCTTCAAGGAACTGATCTAGGGATGATGGGACATGGACAGGCATGTCATGACGTGGTTAAATTAGACGTGGCATACACTGGCACTGTAGGACGTGAGTTGACTTGACGTGGTTAGACTTCTTGACACCTAACCATGCTTGACTGGGGCACTGCCAGGAGTAACGAGGCCAGGGTGGTAGACTTCACCTCCTGCATGGGGATAGAGAAACAAAAGACTTACTGACCAACACGTGAATCAGAACTGTAAGATGACCCGTGCGTGTGTTCTCTCTCTCTCTCTCTCTCTCTCTCTCTCTCTCTCTCTCTCTCTCTCTCAGTTCCAAGTGTTAAGATGTTAAAGGTACAGCTCAAGAATTAAAAGTCGACACCACAAAATGTCTTAACCATTGGAATACAATGACATTCGCTTGAGTACTATGCTATTGTACTCAAGGGGTCAAGTCATCATATTCAGGGGATCAAGTCATCATATTTAGGGGATCAAGTCATCATATTTAGGGGATCAAGTCATCATATTCAGGGGATCAAGTCATCATATTTAGGGGATCAAGTCATCATATTCAGAGGATCAAGTCATCATATTTAGGGGATCAAGTCATCATATTTAGGGGATCAAGTCATCATATTCAGAGGATCAAGTCATATTCAGGGGATCAAGTCATCATATTCAGGGATCAAGTCATCATATTCAGATGATCAAGTCATCATATTCAGATGATCAAGTCATCATATTCAGATGATCGTCATCATATATTCAGGGGATCAAGTCATCATATTCAGGTCATCAAGTCATCATATTCAGAGGATCAAGTCATCATATTCAGGGGATCAAGTCATCATATTCAGGTCATCAAGTCATCATATTCAGGTCATCAAGTCATCATATTCAGAGGATCAAGTCATCATATTCAGAGGATCAAGTCATCATATTCAGGTCATCAAGTCATCATATTCAGAGGATCAAGTCATCATATTCAGATGATCAAGTCATCATATTCAGAGGATCAAGTCATCATATTCAGGTCATCAAGTCATCATATTCAGGTCATCAAGTCATCATATTCAGGTCATCAAGTCATCATATTCAGGTCATCAAGACATCATATTCAGGTCATCAAGTCATCATATTCAGAGGATCAAGTCATCATATTCAGAGGATCAAGTCATCATATTCAGGTGATCAAGTCATCATATTCAGGTGATCAAGTCATCATATTCAGGAGATCAAGTCGTCATATTCAGGAGATCAAGTCATCATATTCAGGGGATCAAGTCATCATATTCAGGTCAAGTCATCATATTCAGGAGATCAAGTCATCATATTCAGGTCATCAAGTCATCATATTCAGGTCATCAAGTCGTCATATTCAGAGGATGGAAAAAAATATATAGATGTAGTCATTGAATCGAACTTTTATCATGGTGAAATAGTAAATCTCAGTGTTGTGTAAACAGTTTGTTGGACGGCTTGAAATGTCATCTGGCTTCCTATATGGCTTGTGTTTAGTCCTTAGCCTTTGAGGATGGTGGTTTAACCCTTAGCAATACGTAACTGAACGAAGCATACTGA